TAAGAAAAGTGTATAGATTTTATTATCATAAAAACAAAAAGTTTTTTGAGAACATCTGTTTTTTGGGTTGGCAAAAGAATCAGTGGAAAGAGTTATTGATAGAAATGAATTATTATTCTATTAAACTCAAAATATATTTTCTTATAATTAATAATTATATATCAAGTTAACTGAATAAAAAGAAGAAATTATTAAAGATAATAAATTAATTAACAATAAGAATTTGTTTTACTAAAAGCCTAAACTGTTAATGATATATTAGAAATATATAATTATTGTTAATTTTATCTTGAATACTTGACAAAACTATTATTTTATTATTATTCAAGTGAGATGATTATGTGATTGCTCTTTTGTCTTATTTAGTTTTCAAATTTCTAAAAAACAAAAACTATAAATAATTTATTCCTATTAAAAGATTAATATAAAATAATATATCATATTGATATTTAAATTATTAATATAAACAAGATTGTTAATTTTTATTTATATATTTTTTTGATTATATAGTTATATGAGTTCAGATTACAATTCAAAATTCAAATATTAAATATCCTTCTTATTATTAATATTTATAAAATATACATGTATAATTAATAACTTAATTAATAGCTAACAATTGTTTACTTTTTTTTTTTCTAGTTAAGTTTTCAAAGATTTATATATATTAATTTTTATTTTTAATAAGTTAGGATTAATCTATTTTATAAAAATTCTTAATATATTGGTAACAAACAAAAGTTTAATTAAAATTTTATATTTAATACTTATTTAAAAAAAAGTATTATATTTATTATTATTATTTGCAATTTTAGATTTCTTTTATTATTATTGATTTTTTTTTTTTAAGCAAGTACTGAATTGGATTAATCTTAAGCTAGATTTTTTTTTGTACTATAAAATTTGTTATATCAATTAAAATTATAAGCTTATATAAAAATTAAACTAGAAACCTTTTTTAATATAATTTTTTTTACTTTGCCTATTTTTAATTTACAATTGTTAAAAAGATTAAAAATTTTATTATTATGTAATCTAATTAGATTTAGCAAATATTTAAATAATTGAATGCAATATATATATTATAATTAATAAATCTTATGTAAAGAATATTTGTATATATTTTGTTTTTTATAAGTATTGAATTAAGAATATGCATTTGAAAATCTGAAAGTATTATTTATTATATTATTTATTTACAGATTATTATATTGTTATTTTTTTATAAATATTAAATTAAAAATATATATTTAAATTAAACAAATTATTAATATTATAATTTTAAAATAATATATAGTATATAAATTTAATAAACAAATTATGAAACTTATTTTTTATAAAATTTAAGATTCTTTATTATTACTTATCAATTTTCAAATTTTTTATTTTTGTTTAAAATATTATTATTGGTTTTATTTTATTTTGATTAATTATTTAAAAAAAAATTTAAAAAGTTATTTGTTTAAATTAAAAGTACAAAACTTAATTCTAAAATTAAATTTTTATATATGCAATATATTTTATTTCTCAATTAATAAATTAAATTGCTCTTTATTATTATCTTTATTATAAAATTAATAGTATAATTTATTAAAATCTATTGATTAGATTATAAATAATTTTTATATTATAGTTAATAATTTTAAAATTTGTTATTTTTCATAATAATAATATTTTGATTTTTTTTTTTAATAATTTTATCTTACAACTTTTCACTTATAATTGATGATATTAACTAATTTCTTTCAAATTCTTTTATAAAAAAATTTATTTTAATCAGATTCTGATTCTTACTATAAATCTATTAAATCAATATATGGTTAAAGATATAGGAAAGCCAAAATAGATATTATTTAACCAATTCATAAATATTATTTTTATAATAATGGATAGTAAAAGTGAATAAAGATTATTTATTAGAATAAAAAAAATAGTTATATATAATTTAAGTCTAACTATTCATTTGAATAAAAAAATTTTTTATAATTTTACAATTTTTACAATTTTTGCGATTCTCACAACTTTTACTAAACTTAGTTTTGATATCCATCTTACTTAATATTTTCGCGAATCTATTTCCTCTACCTTATGTTTCGCAAACCTACTTATTTCACCATACATTTCACGAACCCATTCACTTCACATTATATTTCGTAGATTAACCCATTCCACTTAACGTTTTGAGAATCCATTTACTCCACCTCACATTTCGTAAATGTACTCATTCCACTTTATACCCATGAACCCATTCACTCCACCTCATGTTTCACAAACCTATTATTACAACTTACATTTCACGAACTCATATTTACTCCACTTCATGTTTCGCGAACCCATTCACTTCACCTCACGTTTCGCAAACTTACCCATTCTATTTCATGCCCCGTGAACTCAATCATTCCACTTCACATTTTGCAGATCTATCCAATCCACTATGTTTCGCAAACCTATCCATTTCACCTCATGCCTTAAGAACCCATTCATTCCACTTCATGCTTCACGAATCTATTCATTCCACCTCAAGTTCCGCAAACCTACCCTTTCCACAAACCCATTCACTTTACCTCACGTTTCGCAAACCTAATTAAATGATATAATTGAATTATGTCATCATTTATTTCCAGTACTAGAAGTACATACGTCATAATTTGAACATCTTACACGTGATTATTCCATAAAAGTATACAATAACAAGTTTTGAGATAAATCACAGTTAATTTCTTCTCGTCATTGTCATTCGCCGACGATGCTAACTCTACAAATTTCAAGGTATGTTGCGTTTATCTGTTAACTAAGCCAAATCCAGTTCACTTCATGTTATAAATCTTACGCGATTATTCATACATACAACAAAAGTAATGGTTCAACCAGCGAAAAGCAGAACGCGAATGTCAAGTCACAAGATGAACTCCTACCGTCTTCAGACGTGACTTCTGAAGAAATATCATCATATGATACCGCCCCTGCGAATGATTCCGCAAAAGACGAACAAAAAGAATTGGTTGCTTCACTGAATAATGTGAAAATACAAGATGAAGACTTTGTGGGTCACACTGGTGACCAACAAAGTGGTAGTCTAACCGAAACGTCCGCGAATGCGAGTAAAGAAGGTGAAACAAATGAAACAAAAAACAATATCGAGGAATTTGTTAAACAAGACTCTAAAGATAATGAAAATTCGGATACGTATCCAAAAGAGGCACAAGCAGAAACACATGCCCCCGAAAATGAGGCCACAAGTAAACATACTACCGTCGCTGACGAAAAGATCGACACACTTACTGAAGACCAACAAACAACTGCTGTCGAATCCGCAGATAAGGTTGAAACGGTTAGCATGACAAAGAAAAAAAAGAAGAAAAAGAAGAAAAAAAAAATCTCGGAAGTCGACGAGTTGGACTTTTATGATGCGGGCCCTAAAGAAGAGGATGAAGTTAAGCTTTATGATCCGTACGTGTTTATACAAAATTCACTTGATATATAAATCATAATTAATTGATCGAGTTTACTCCGTTAGATCAAGGCCGATAACTCATCGAATCGAGTTAGCAATACAAAAATTTAGGAAGAATCGGAAATTCAATCCAATTCGTAATCAGATATTTAGTTCCTACCTCCGTTTTGGCGGAATTGACACGGGTCAAAAATCGTTTCTTGGTAATGATGGAGAGGATGATCCTGAGGCGGATGCCGATGAAATATTGACACGTCGTTCAACCGACTTTATTGAAGATGAAGAATTGGAAGTAGATTTTACGTATATCATCAAAGTTTATCTTTCTAGTTATTTGATCGATAAATCCGGATATGTACAAATGGAACAATTTCGTGAAGCGCCTCTAGTTATTAATTCATTTCTGAACTATCTGATAACGCATGATGTATGTCCGGAATATATAAAGGATATGGAACAAGCTTTGAAAATTGTTGAACTTGCAAAGAAGGAGCTTCCAAAGTGTAAATTATTAGCACAGCTCGCGCCTGGAAAATTCAATAAGGCATGCTCTTTAATATATGGTGGTGAATTGCATGGCATGTTCGAAGATCCTTGGGGCGGTGAAGAGAATGTTGCGAATTTGATTGGAATTTCTCTTTCGGAAGGAGAACGAATTGTCGAGAAAGTCTTTGGGAAAGGTGCATTGAAATTACACTGGACGGGAAATACACGAAAAGCTTTGGAGGTTAAGGTTATTGAGGTTGAACCAATTCAAGAAAGTAGCGCGAAAGCCGCTGATGAAGTTGTTACAACCGAATCAGTAAACAAGGTTATTGAGGTTGAACCAATTCAGGAAAGTACCGCGAAAGTCACTGATGTAGTTGTTACAACTGAATCAGTAAACACGGTTATTGAAGTTGAACCAATTCAAGAAAGTACCGCGAAAGCCGTTGATGAGGTTGTTACAACCGAGTCAGTAAACATGGTTATTGAGGTTGAACCAATTCAAGAAAGTACCGCGAAAGCCGCTGATGAAATTGTTACAACCGAATTAGTAAACAAGGTTATTGAGGTTGAACCAACTCAGAAAAGTACCGCGAAAGCCGCTGATGAAATTGTTACAACTGAATCAATAAACACGGTTGTTGAGGTTGAACCAATTCAAGAAAGTACTGCGAAAGCCGCTGATGAAGTTGTTACAACTGAATCAATAAACACGGTTATTGAGGTTGAGCCAATTCAAGAAAGTACCGCGAAAGCCGCTGATGAAGTTGTTACAACCGAGTCAGTAAACAAGGTTATTGAGGTTGAACCAGTTCAAGAAAGTACTGCGAAAGCCGCTGATGAAGTGGTTACAGCAGAATCAGTAAACACCAAGGATGCAAGCATTTTCAAGAGTGAAAAAACGCAATTTGATGGGGACGATGTGACGCATTTACGTAAAATGATTGTGCAACCGTACGGAAACCCTGAGGAACCACCATTTATCATTCATCTTAGCCCAGATGTGGCGCACTGTCCTATGCCCGGAATGCTGATCACCGCTGATTTTCACCTTTTATCCAATGGTAGGTGGTACTGGGATCGTGTCACAAATGTATATCCTTCTTATTATCTAGCGGAAGAGGACTCTGATGATGAATAAAATACAATTCTGATATCATGTGCTGAGCACATAATTATAAATATCATATTTTACTTTGACCAAATTTTGTCATAATTCCATTACACCGACATTTCATTTCATGATAATAAAAGACATTAAGGAATCGTAAATAATTAACACTATTTTTTCTAATGATGTATATATTTCAATATTTAATGAGGGGTGTCATTTTACAAAAGAAATAAAGTTGTGTCTATAATATAAGATAAAGAATCTAAATAAACTTTCACGAAATGGTAGTCGCAGATATAAATATATATATATATAGACTATATATATTATGCGCTTCAGTATAAAAATGTGTTATATGTACCACATTTCATACTTCTTTCTCTCTTCTTCGTTACCTTCGAATATAAAGTTAATTAATTTTATTTCCTGAAACCCTTCGTCAAGTGTTGGTTCACTGAATTTTGATTTGTAAACTTGAAATGAAATATCTGGTAACAAAGTACGTCCCTAAAATACAAATTATCAGATTACCAGTTCTAAAATTTGATGTCTCTACAAGAATTAATAAAATTTATCCTTACCAAACCGGTTGCACCATAAACTCTATACATATTATTATGTTTAGCCAAAGCTTCCGATGCTTGAAACCAAAAGCATCGAACAGGAACACCGTATTTCTTTGCTATATCGATATAATCTTTTCTACTTTCCGCATTTGAATTTGTGCTGTCTATGGGAGGAATGTTATATAAATAAGGAAACTCTATTTTCCAGATTCTATTTTGCAATCTCTCACCTATAACAACAGACTTCTTCTCTTCCAGGGCCTCTTCGCAAGCCTTTATACATTTTGCCTTGGTTTTCATTTTATCCTAAATGAAGTGTTTGGAGTCCATTTAAGATCAGAAAAGGCTATGATGCAGCTTTATAAAAATTAAAAAATTCATAGTACCTGATTAACATGCGTGTATCCATTATTTATCAACCATTTATTTGCGAAAGTTGATTTTCCGCTTGCGGGAAATCCTGTGAATATTACTACTTCACATTGTTCCTTTGGTACTACAAGTGGTGGCGAAGTTGGGGCAAACAATGGAACTGGAATAGAGCATAAAAACGCAAAATATAAGTGAATGGAAAGTACAATAACATTGACAATAATACGCACCATCTTGTGGAAGTTTTTTGGGGTCAAACCCTTCACTATAGGAAAAAGGTGCCAGCTTCTCATTGTCAAAAAATTCTTCAGGAGTATAAAATTTAAGCCCAATATTTTCGGCAAATTTTCTAAAATTAAGGATAAAGATTGAAGCAATTGGTTCTTCGACGACACAAATAAATTCTTTAAACGAAAATATTATGCATACCTGTCTGTGTCTGCCCAATCACGTTGAGCACCCTTCTTCCAATTATCCTCGCGTCCAGCCGCGTCTCCCACATAAAAACTTTTCTCCATATCTGTTAAAATTCAATTGAAACGTATATTGTAAAAATTAAACCCTCAGAATAAAAACTTCGAATTATCACATACCCACAAAACAATTGTTTTCATTTTCAATTAAACATTTCCAGATTCCTGCCATTGGTTTTCTATATTTGTCACGACCTGTGGCGACATATATTACAAATGGAACATTCAGCTAAAAATAATTTGTGTTAATTTTTTTTTTTTCAGCTTTTAATGGAAATCATATTACTATTGACAACATACATCATCTGCAATATGCTTTATTTTGTTTATGAAATTGGTTCTTCTTTTTTCGCTATTTTTCTTCGATAAATCTAATCCTCCTTGGTTACTTATGATAATTATTCTGTATCTATTAAAAGACACGTATGTAAATAATCCATATTCTTGGAAGAAAAAAAAAAAGGTACAAAGAAGCATAGATAAACAAATACCCTTCCGCATCAAGTTCCTTCAGTCTCTTTGGCACCTTTTTGCTCCACCATTTCCAGTCATGTTCATCTTTGGGATATTTGTGAGTTCCCTTGACAGAAATTAATGTGCCATCCTAATGTACAGATAAAATGAATTGTTATAGATCACTAATTAAAATCCAAGTATAAGGTAGATTGAAAAAGGAAATACTTATTCACCATATCAAATCCAGCAACTTTTGGGTTACTTTCATTTTTACCATCTTTTGATGTCATATAACGTCCGATCAAAACCGAATCGTGCTGTGCCCAATGAACATTGTCTTTCGGTGAGGAAACAAGATACGATTCTGTATGATAAAGTAATATGAGTTTCTTGTTTCAATAAGTAAAGAATCTCAACGCGTCACCAAAAATAGACAAACAGTTCGGCGTAGGGATTTAAAGAGCAGACATAACATTAACCGGATAACTTGCCAAGTTTTGCTTCCTTTTTAACCACAGTTTCCTCCTGTTCGGAATTAAGTGACCGACGACGTTTGACTTCTTTTTTTACACTGGAGGCCGTTATGGTCACGTCTTCAAAGGAAATTACTGTAAGTATGCGCGAAAGATCTAATGCAAAAAACTCTTGTGCCTACATACCTTTTTTTTCTTTTTTTTGTGATTTTTTCATTGTTAAGGATAACTAAATCTGATAGAAAAGTCGTGTTACTACAGTATATATATGTTAATCTGAAATTTTGGCGTTTGAATCACGAAAAAAACTTGTGATATGACTCTTTATCGCTTCATCGTATGATACTTTTTCAAACAATGACCGTAGATCGTAAGTTGCTGAATTTACGCATATACCTTCAATGCATTTCGATACACCAGTAAAAAAATGTTGACTAAAAAATAGCCAAGATTCTTTGTTATATTTTATGTCATCAGATATTTATTAAATTATCAATGTATTTATTAAATATAGTCTGATTGAATTAACATTTTTATTTATTTTATTTTTTACTTCCGCATAATAACGTGTTTCTTTTTATTATTATTATTTTTTTTTTTCAATTAGTCAGGTCTTGCCTAACATATTTTATTTAGTTTACATTTGTTATCTATAAATTATATTGAACTTTTTTTGTATTGACTTGTTACTATTGACTCATTTTAAGATATACAATATATAGGATTTTATTAAATAATATTAATAAATTTAAATATTGAAATAATATTATTAAAAATTTTAATCAAAAATTGTGATAAATTATTTGTTTTAACTTTTTTTAAAAAAATTTGAATTTTTAAAAGAAAGGTAACTTATACTTTAATATTTATAAAATTGATATGAACTATAAAAAACATTCTTGATATTTTAAATTCTTTTGTTTTTTTTAAAAAATGTTTAATCAAAAACAAGAAAATTATAATAAATTCAATATAATTTATAGATAACAAATGTAAACTAAATAAAATATGTTAGGCA